TCCTGCTGGTCGAATCATTTTTGAATCTCTAAGTTGCCCTTGAGACAATGCTATATTCTCCTCCACATATTGTTGGTTCTGTTGATGGCTTTCCTTAGACAGGCCTTCCTTCTCTTTTCTCATTTTCATGTAGTCTGCCTCATCCATTGCATCCCCCAACAAGCTCTCATCACGAACCTCTTTTCTTCCTCTCATGTCATCAGTCCTATCGATTCCTTTCTCTTAGTGAGCTATAAGGAACCCTCCCTCTCCTGCATATGTAGTGGTCCCGTCCACGCTTAACCCATCCACAACTTTTCTTGAACTTTGCAGAATTTATGAATTTTTGTTCGAACACAAGTTTGAATTTAAACAAGTTCAAATTTTTTAGATACTTGACTTCAAAAGTCAGTTTGTAAATATACAGATTATCCCTCATTGTGGGTTATTTGAAATGAACTTTTTTCTATGAGAATAAGAAGCATGGATATTTGCCCAATTATATGTACTATTAGGCATGTACGGTTAAATGATCATTTTGTTTGTTCAGCTTATATTGCAGAAAATGATTTGTGGAAAAGGCTTAATTCCATACTTCAAGCATTGCCTTCATTTTTTTTCATGTACTCTTAGCGTATAATATTAATTTTCAAGGTAAGCTGGTGAAAGATTTAGCTTCAATTGGCATTTAATGAGATGGTTCTCTTGTGGCAGGTTGATGATGTGGCACTTGATGAGGTCCCATACGTGATTGGAAAATATGATATGTGCGTGGTGAAAAATGGCCGGCTGGATGTAAATGTTATTGCAAGTGCTGTTAAGATGAAGCTCATTATGCAATTTGGTGTTGGATTGGAAGGTTGTTTTCTATTCATAAATTTCTTAAATTATTATCTTTAGCATACTGTTTTGAACTGTTCTAGATTTCTCTAATATCCTTCTTAATATTGTCAGGATTTTAGTTAAAATTTTTAAATATTTCATTCTTGGAAGACATACCTTGTAATTCTTCTCCTTGATCAATTAATACAGTTGCCTGACTTTAGGTGTTGATGTCATTGCTGCCTCAAAACAGAACATTAAAGTTGGACGAATTCCTGGTAGGACTTCTGGCAATGCTGGCTCTTGTGCAGAAATGGCAATATACTTGATGCTGGGCCTTCTCCGGAAGCAGGTATGCTACATAGGAAATACACATTTTTTTGTAAATATTTCTTCCATTATGGTTGCATGAAATTAATATTTTCATATAATATAGTTTTGTTTCTCTTTAAACATTTAACTTGTTTCTCAGCTCACGTCTCCACTTGTTGCAGAGTTCACGCTCCCTACAGGGAAGATGAGAAATGTTTTTATTAAAATATTTTTTTTGCTGTAAATACACTTTTATCATACAAATGGTATCTATTTTCCTGTGTTTGTTGATTATCTTTTTATTATTCCTTTTGGTACCTTTTGGCAGCACAAGGAAATAGGGCATCTTTATTTATTTATTGACTTTTATCTGAATCAAGCAGTCCAATAGCTTTTTTTTTTTTGAAATTATAGTATGCGAAACATGAGCTTAATATTCATATTCCTTAGTTTTTTTATGATGTATTCATGTCTTCATCATTAAGGAAGATTTCCTTTTGCAGCTCACTTGATTAACATTTAAAACCTCTTTTCTCTTTTTTTATTCTTTTATGTCTCCTTATGCTTTTGAATAAGCTGGAATTAATCTCTACTCGTTTAGCCTGCTGCTCTAACACCGAATAGTCCATGATCCTGAAAGGCACCTACAACTGCCTGATCAAATCCTTTAATCCCGAAAGGAATCTGTAACACTTCTCATTGCAATAGCAATTAGCTGTGGAGCATTCCTTGACAGTACAGTGAGCTCTGCTTCATACTGCATAACTGATTTCTCTCATTGCACCAACTTGAGAACACTGTTGATGCTATATAGTCAGTAAGCAATAATTTTTAATAACACTGTTGATGCTACATATTGTTAAGAGTGTGTTTTATTAGATCCATCTTTTATAAGTAATAATATGTTCATGCTTTTCTTAGATAAAGTATTAGCAATAATAAAATTATACGTTAAAGTTAAATCTAATATGGTTTTACATTCTTCATTAAGCACTCCAAAATCGTAATTATCATGAATATTTCTAAAATCTTCTACTAATCTACCAAAATGTTTATTTAAATCTCTTCAAATATAAATTTTGTCTGCAAGAGATATCATTTATATTAATTTAGGTCATTCCAAAACTTTTCTTTTGAACCTATATCTAAACCGGTTTGAGAAGCATAAATACTTTTAACATTAAAAATTTTAATATCAACAAAAATTTTTAGAGTATAATTCTATCTCAATTAATATTAAATTTAAGAACTTTTTCTTTTCAACTCTTATCTATAACTATGTCTACACAATTTCTAGTGTAACTTCTACCTGAATACCAAAGTTTTAAATATAAACTATACATCTCCTTAACATTTTCTCTAACCCAGTTAGTTTCTTGAATGTATAAGATATTTATCTTCCTATGAACCATAATATCCACTATTCCATTAATTTACTTGTACGAGTATCTATATTCCAAGATTCTATCATAATATTTGTTTCATGGACTGATTTCTTTTCCTGCATTCGTCCATAATATGAGAATTCTTGCTTATTTGCACTACACCCGGGCGCCGGTGCAGTAACCCTCACATACTTTTCATTGTATTCATGTCATATAATGTATCGCTTCCAGGAGATGCTCTAGCATTTACATATTGATTTAAATGATTCATGTCATTATTTTCCGACAAAAAAAATTATGCTGGCTGTCATATACCTAACATAGCCTTTCATTTTTTGCATTTGGGACTTAGGACCCGACAATGACAGTGTTAGTTTAGTTGCATTGATTGAATATTAATATTTAAAGGAGACATGATAAGATATTATGCTAAGTGGTTGCGTAATGCATTTTATACTTTAAGAAGGCCTTGTTTGCGACGATGCAATTTTTGTAAGAGTTCATGAAAATAGCCTCTTTGCATGAGATTGTATATATCAAGAATTCTTCAGATCCCAAATGACGGAAAGCATTATACACGTGGTACGTAAATATGAAATATATCCTTTTCCATGATAATCTCAAAACTTTTTTTTTTCTCCTTTTTTATTTTCGCAGAAGGAGATGGAAATTTCCGTTAAGAAGAAAATACTAGGAGATCCAATTGGAGAGACACTTCATGGGAAAACTGTAAGTTTTAGTCTACCTAATTTCTTTTTTTGTTGCACTTTGTTATCCTATGATATTAATTAAATGTAAACTTTAACACAACTATTGTGAGTTGAAAATAGAGCTAAAAATAGAATAAAGACAAATCAATTTTGGCAGAATTAGGAGCATTTACAAATTAATTTTAAGATAGCAAGATCAAAATTTAAGGAGATCAATGTTATTCTTTAATAATAAAATTTTCGTTTTCTTAAACATACATGTTTTTAGCCACAAGAAAATGTTTTAAATTTTTATCATTGCATTGAAAATATAAATTTGCTATATTTATTATAGATCTAAAAGAAATTTATAGTGAAACCCTTAATTAAATTGCTTTTTTAAATATAAAGAAAGTTAGACTTCTAATTTCTAGTACAGATGCAAGCATTTCTTGTCCTTTTCTATTAGAAACCATCCAAACTATGTCCGCATTCATATCTAGCATGATCTTATTTTGCGGGTACACTTGGGAATTTTTCGTTCTGGAGTTTGCAAATTTATTTGCAAGGAAAATTGAAAGATTTTTTTTTGTCTTTTGTATTTGTCTAGACTTTGTGTTGCATGCATACTAATTTTCTATACTGAAGTGTTATTTTCACTTATGAATTAAATTCTTGGCTTGAAACTTAACCGCTAAGTTGATGATTGCTCTGCTGATAGATTGACTTCATATGCTTTGGAAATTAGATTGGTGCTAGTATTTTAGCCAATATGTAGAATTCCTTCAAAAAATGATTTAGTTACTTGTTTTGATGCATATTGACATGATCGATGCATATGATGTAATTACTTTGAAAAACTGCCGCACCTCTCCAACATATTTTATTTATTTGTAGTTTCAGTAGCACATTTTGATGGTATGACAATATCTATCTTGCAGATTAACACAACAGGCTTCATATGTTTTATTGACAATTACATTACATACCTTTCATTGGTTGTAGGAATTGTGAAATAATGGTTGGTCACATTGAGCTAGTACGTCGATAGAAACAAACATGGTATACATTAGTTACTTGAGGATTTAAGGTTAAATGTCCGTTGCTGGAGCCTATAAGGCACCATTTCCTTGAGGGAAAATGATGGATTACTTCCTCACTAAAAATCCCGTCAGAGGCTTTTGGGCAAAGTGAAAGTCCAATCTATGTGGATTCCTACAAGTAGCCTAGTTAACAATCACATACTTGATTTAGCTTTGTCTCTCCGTCTTTCTATTTTTTCCCTTATTGTAATTTCCTTCTCCCTTTGCTCTCTTTTCGTTGTACTTCACATCTATAGAAATAATGGTTTGTTTATTGTTTCTTTTGTTGGCTTCAGGCCATTCTTGACATGAATCCCAACTTGACAGGATTTCAAGTATTTTCGAAGCCATAAGCTAATTCCTAGTCCTCGTTCCAACAACTTTAGGTGCATTAAGCATGAACCTTATGGATTAAAAGAGGAAAATGACTCTTACTGATCCAGAAAAGGTTAGTATTGGCTGGTGAGGAATAACCTCTCATGATTGTACTGGTTGGAGTATGTGACTATTGAGCATCTTCTATGGATGGATGATTGATTTAGTCCCATGGTTAACACAAGCTTGTTAGAATGCAATTTCGTTTGGTTTTGGAGGAATTCCACATCTCTATCTTAGCCTTAATGATTTATTTTTGCACATTTTTCACCCACGAAATCCATGCTCAAGCCAGTGTGGAGCTAGTACGTTATTCCTCATTATGAAGCTTAAGTTCATATCTTTGAGATGTTTGGGGAGTTAAAATTTTCAACTTGCAGAACAAATAGCAGAGGGAGTTCTTAGTCTATCTTCTTTCCTAAGATCTTGAAAGGATAGCTTAATTTAGGGGGAAATATTTGCATACGGACTACGTACGCAGAGCTGCGTGTGTAATAATCTCTCAATAACCTCCGTTTCGCGGTTATTAGGGGGTTATTGGGAGGTTATTGAGGTATTAATTTCAATAACATATAACCCCAATAACCTTCCAACAACCTTCGCGGGTTCTATTTCGATATTATTCAAGGTTATTATGGAGGTATTACGGGGTTAATAAAGTACGCACGCAGAGCTGCATGCGTCTTCTGTCTGCAAATATTTCCCTAATTTACGACATCATGCTCTCCATCCATTACCAAATTTTGAAGATATGTTTAATATCTTTTAAATGTTCAATAATGAGTAACAAGGACATATTGTTTTTTTCTATATTAATTGCATCCAATTTGAGGCATATTATGATCTCTGGATTTATAAGGGGACTCAACCTTATATTAATGCTTAATATATGATGAATGATCCCTAACATGTTTCCTCTCCTTTTCGATATTTGACCACCATTCATTCCTCTCGCCCATACCTCTCTTTGTTGTTTGCATCAATTGATATAATAGTTAAATTGCACTTCATCGCTTCTCTTCTGATTGCATCGATTGATTCATCTTACATCTACATCTGGATCCATGCGACGACAACATTATGACTTCATTGAAACAATGCCTTTTTGTACAACTTTCTTGATTGAAGCCATTTCGTCGTACATGCATGCTTATCTCTTCCTTTCACGAAATTCAACCATCTACCTTTGCTCTCATGCACTTTTGTTGCCTCACGCTGCATTTTAAGTTCAAGAGCCCCACCTCCTGTCAGCTAGCACATTAGAAAAAACCAACTTTCAAGGTATCTTTCCTTTGCATTTAGTTTCCTTGTGATATGGATGGAAAGTTTCTTTCTGAAACTACCTTAGGGAGTTTTGGAGAGTTACTGCTGAACAAGGTATCAAAATTCTGATTTTGAACATTTGTAGTTTTGAGATTGTAATGCCCCATTTTATTGCTGTGCGAACCAGTTTTATCTCATCGACGTACGGATTAAGGAAGCAAGGGAGACTAAAGAGAGGAAGACGAAACAAGTAGTTAAGCATTTGAAGGAGGAGATGAAACATGTGGGTTTGTGTCAAGGGCAAGTGTATTCCTCTATCACGACTCGGTCCAGGTCTTGGAATTAACCAAAACGGGTACAAACAGTTGGACGGTGAAAATTAAATTTTTTATCAGTATTAATGATTCAAAAAGGGTAAATGAAAGAGCCACTAAAATTAAAATGAAATAATTATAAATTTATTTTAGATTGGGTTTTTCTTGTCTCTTATAAACACTGCCTCTTCTATTGCACAATCTTAACACAAAATCTTAATGTTGAAAAGTTAATGAAAAACATGAGCTAACCAAAGCCAATTAACTCTCACACTCATAGACTAGAGTAACACAATGAAAAAAAAAATATGCATGTCAGCTAAGATTTTAATAAATTAGTATAAAACAATTGATAGTTTATCAATATGATATCTCACAATATTTCATAATATTCAAGATGCTTTACTATATCAATAACGAGTCTATATTATTTTATATATGAACAACCGTCACATGTGTATCGTCTAAAAATTATATCAGTTAAGGTACTTCAATATCAATATCATTTTTTGTTTATGTGCATTGATACCTTAGTGTTTCCCTATTAATATCATAAAAGAGTGCATCTATCATAATCATACACATAAAATTAGTCTATACAGTTCATATTATTTATTATTTCATATCACTCAATATGTAATATTTATTACTATAATGCACAAAGCTTTTTTATAATAGGATATTATAATCATTCATATTAGAATCACTGATAAAATTTAAGAATAAATGAATCAATTTCTTTAATCAAGCATGAATAATAATTCATTCAATTGCTTTAGAAGAAATAAAAAATTAATACTATAATTTAAGTGGAGTACTCAACTCGATGTTGATTTTTTTTTTGTTTATGGATTTGCCTTGACTCGACTCATCTAAAATTGAAACCTAAAATAAACATGGGTATTCATATTACTAAAAATTTATTTATTTATTATGTTATTTAATTATTAAATTTAAATTATTTAAGTATTAAATTTGCATTGTTTGTATATATAATTTTACTATAAAACATACCTTATCACTGTCTTTGATTTTCTTACTAACCTAGCCAAAACTCTGACTCACATCTTCCTACTCGAACCTTCACCACAAGCCTTCTAACTAGGCTTTCCAAGCATAATTAATATGAGCTTAAATATAAATCATTTTAATCTAAATAAATGTCAAATAACAACCCTAACCTTTCTTTACCATCGCCGAACTTCTCTTGATCCAAATATGAATCTTCTATAGATTGAATTCTGATTTAATTAGACCTCATTATTAATAATTAATAATTAGTATTTAATAATATGTATTAAATTCATAAATTAATATCTTTGAAACCCTTATGTCATAAGTACTCGGTTTTGTTTGGTTAACCTGCGTAGAGCTGCCCCCTTCTTGTTCTTTTGTCCTTGGGCACCTTCAACTTCAAAAAAGAGCTTGTCTAATGCCACTGCACTTGTCTCTGCCCTAATTTCTCCCTCATAATCATCGTCTTTGCTTGTCTTTCTTTCCTAGACTGCAAAATGGTCTCTTGAGAGAGTCTTCCATTCTCTTATTTCTCCTTCACGCTTCTTGCTAATGTCGGCGTCTACACACATCAAATGTAAGGATGGCTTGATTTCTTCTTCAGCTTGATCTTCTTCTAATATCCTTGTCCAGGGCATGGGGTTCCCTCGCATGCAGGGTCATTCGACAAGTTTCTTCTTTCTCGTCTTTTTCCTCTGCTTCTTCTTCTCCTTTTCACGTTGCTTCTTCTTCTCCTTTTACCACTACTCAGCCTCCCATCTCATTTCTCTTTTTGATCGCTTCGAATGGTACACCTCTTTAAAAAAAAATTGTTGAGGTGTTTCATTCTCACCCAAAAGGACTGCATTGGTTGAAAATTTTGACAATAATAACATTTTTATTTTATTTATTTATCAATTATTACATTCTCTTAACAAATTTCATGCTCGAAGGTAGCATGATCTACTGAAAGTCTCAAATCACTTCTCATTAGAACTCTAGATCTCATTGAT